AAGGCAGTCGCTTAACCAACTGAGCCACCCAGGCGCCCCTAAAATCTTTAAAAAAAATAAATAAAAGGTACAGACTTCCAGTTATAAAATGAATCAGTCTTGGAGGTGAAAAGGACAGCATGGGGAATATAGTCAATAATATTGTAACAACATATGATGACCGATGGGGACTATACATATGTGGCGAGCATTTTGTAACATAGAGAATTGTCTCATCACTATGTTGTGCACCTGAAACTAACAAAACATGGTATGTCAAATATACTCCAATGAAACATTTTTTTTTAATTTAAAAAGTCCCTAACGCCTCCCTCTCCACCTCCCACTCAGCTCCCCCTCTCTTTTGCTCTGTGTCCCCTTTTAGTTGATGATCCTCCAGTCACTGTCTGTCTTCCTGTCTGTAATAATGACTAATATTGACCGAGCATTTACCAGCTCCAGGCCCTGTCCTACCCATGTCACCTGTATCAACTAATTAAAGTGTCACAAGCCTGAGACTTTACAGAGAAGGAAACCATGAGGGTGCATGGTTAGTAACGGAGCCCACACCGGCACCTGGAAACCAGTTAATGCCTACACGACCATAGCAGCATCCCCCAGCCCTGTGGGAGCAAGGTTCCCTGACTGTGCTAGCCCCCAGAGCCCCTAGCACACACCAGTTCATACCTAACCCAGATGGGTGAATGGCTGGGATGCAAACTACACGAGGGACCCGAGTTTTGAGCAAACATTACTTACTCAGTGGCTCCTAGTGCTAGGCATCCTTACCTATCCTCCCAGCCTCAGTTTCCCCAACCTAGAAAGTGCACACTAATATTTATGTCCAAAAGTTATTGTGAAGGTTGACGTTTGTTTTTTGTTTTAAAGATTAAAAGAAATTAATAATCTCTATACCCAACATGGGGCTGGAACTCACAACCTGGAGATCAAGAGTTGCATGTTTTACCCGCCGGCCAGGCACCCGGAGAAGGTTGAGTATTTTTTTTTTTTTAATTAATTAATTTGACAGAGAGAGACACAGCGAGAGAGGGAACACAAGCAGGGGAAGTGGGAGAGGGAGAAGCAGGCTTCCCGCGGAG